TTTTTAGTGAAGTTATAGATGTAATTAATAATCCACCAAATTCAAACATGTATGAATCCCTAAAAGGAATAATAATTAACCGATTGACTTTATCAGAAGAGGCTCGTTTAGATAAGTTAATTTCTAGATCAGAACTAGGAGATAAACGTCCATCAAATTTCTTTAGAGAATTATTACAAATCTCTGGAGACAAAATTATTGATGAGAAATTACTAATTAAATTATGGCGGAGACGTTTACCTGCAGTTATTGATATAGCTTTAACAGCATCTGGGAAAGACGACGTGACTGAATTATTGAAACTTTCAGATAAAATTTGGGAATCTCAAAATTCAAAAATGAATATAAACGAAATTCAAGGTCCAAGTACACAAACTGACAATACATTTTTAGTTAAATTTATGACAGATTTCAACAATTCTTGTCAAACTTTATTAAAAACAATCCTTGACAAACAAATTAAATTAGAAAACGAGGTAAGCTCAATTAAACAAGAAAACTTGTCTTCTCACAGACGAAATGATAATCAGTGTCATTCTTGTCGTCACAGATCAAAAAGTAGGAACAGATATAATAACGATTCTGACAAATTATTATGCTCATATCATAAACGTTTTAAATTGAAAGCATTTAAATGTAATGGTCCACCTTGTTTATTATATGATTCATTTAAAAATAAATCAAAAAACGAATAAGATCAACTATGAACTGTTCGGGAGAAGGAAACATATCTTCAAAAAGACTTTTTGTTTTTGACAAAATCAATAATTTAAATTTTTTAATTGATAGTGGAGCAGAAGTCAGTGTTTTACCAAAAAATATTTTCAAAGGTAATGATAAAGATAACAATTTTTTATTAACGTCAGCATCAGGCAATAAAATTTCTACTTTTGGGAAAAAACTATTAAAAATAGATTTAGGTTTACGTAGAGAATTTCTTTTCGTTTTTATTATTGCTGATATTTGCAAACCAATATTAGGTGCTGATTTTCTAACACATTTTGGATTGCTAGTTGATTTAAAAAATAAGAGAATTTTAGATAACGAAACTTCACTAAGCTCAAAAGGTAAAATTATGAATATAGACAAAGTAGATTTTCCCAAACTTTTTATAGTTGAAAATAAATATACGGAAATTTTTAAAAAATACACTAATATATTTTCATCACCTAATTTTCATTTACCAATTAAACATAACATAGAACATCATATTATTACAGATGGACATTTACCTTACTGTAGACCAAGACGTCTAGATACACAAAAATTTAATATTGCCAAAAAAGAATTTGATAATATGATAGAATTAGGTATATGCCGTCCTTCTTCGTCATGTGTGACATCACCGTTACACATGGTGCCTAAGAAAGATACAGCCGATTGGCGTCCTTGTGGCGATTATCGTTTCTTAAACAAATTAACAATCCCTGAAAGATACCCATTATCGTTAATATCCGATGTTAACATTAAAATCCATGGATGCACCATTTTTTCTAAAATAGATTTAGTGAGAGCATATCATCAAATTCCTGTCGCAAAAGAAGACATTTTTAAGACCGCCATTACTACTCCATTTGGAGCTTTTGAATTTTTAAGAATGCCTTTTGGATTAAGAAACGCAGGAAATACGTTTCAGAGATTTATCAATGAAGTAACTAGAGGTCTTGATTTTATTTACGTTTATTTAGATGACATTTTGATATTTAGTAAAAACGAAGAAGATCATTTTAAACAGCTGGACATTCTGTTTAATAGGTTAGATTCTTTTGGCGTAAATGTCAATCCTTCAAAATGCATGTTTGGCGTCAAAGAAATTAATTTTTTGGGTTACAATATCTCTGCTAAAGGAATGTTACCTACAGAGGAAAAAGTTAAAGCAATAAAAGATTATAAAAAACCAGCTACTCTTAAACAATTACAACGATTTATAGGTATGATAAATTTTTACCATAAATTTGTTCCTAAATTTGCTCAAATTATTTGCCCATTGCATGAATTTGTTGCTTATCTTAATAAAAATAAATTCAAAAATATAGAAAATTGGCCTGAGGAATACGAAAGAAGTTTTAATGAAGCCAAAGACGCGCTTATTAAAGCCTCTTTACTCGTACATCCACAAGAAGGTGCCGAACTATCGTTAACCACTGATGCCAGCAATTCATGCATAGGTGGTGTATTAGAACAAACTATAAATAATGTTAGGCAACCATTAGCTTATTTCTCTAAAAAACTTTCAAAATCACAAATCAATTATAGTGTATTCGATAAAGAACTATATGCGATTTACATGTCAATTAAACATTTTAGACATATGCTTGAAGCAATGGATTTCAAAGTTTTTACCGATCATAAACCAATTGAAAGAGCAATCCATTCAAAATCAGAAAAATCACCACGACAATTTCGTTATATCGAATATATTTTACAGTTCACTAACAAAATAATTTATGTTGGTAGCAAAAATGTAAGAGTGGCCGATTTTTTAAGTCGTATTGAAGAAGACGAAATCATAAATATCAATGCTAAAAAAGACGGAATTAAAGGCAATGATATTGCAAATTTTAATTTACATAAAATTATTTCAGAACAGAAAATAGACATAGAATTAGAGTTCTTATTAAAAAAACAGAATTCAAGTAATAAAAAAGGAAGAAAATTTTTCTTAAGCAATGTAGAGGTTGAAACCACAAAATTGAATCTTTGGTGCGAAACTTCAAAGGAAAAGAGCAGACCATACATTCCTAAGAGTTTACGTTATAGTATTTTTTTAAAGTTACATAACATAGCTCATACTGGATGTAAGGCCACTGTTAAATTAATAAATTCTAGGTATTTTTGGCCAAGGATGAATAAAGAAATTTATTCATGGTCAAAATGTTGTATTAATTGTCAAAAGGCGAAAGTGCTTAGACACACAAAATCACCTCTAGGAAATTTTAAAATTCCAGAAGGAAGATTCCAACATATCCACGTAGACTTAGTGGGTCCTTTGAAACCTTCAAGAGGTCATAATTATTTATTTACTGTTATTGATAGATGTACTAGATGGGTAGAAGTTTATCCACTTAAGAACATCAGTTCAGAATCAGTAATCAAAGTTTTATTAAATCAGTATATAACACGCTTTGGTGTTCCAGTGTATATTACTCATGACCAAGGCAGTCAATTTGAATCTAGTATGTTCAAAGATTTTAGTAAAAGATTAGGATTTCAAAGTATCCATACAACTACTTACCATCCTCAAGCCAATGGGATGATAGAACGTTTTCATAGAACACTAAAGGCATCGTTATCTGCAAAATTAATTTCGAATAATTGGTATGATGAATTACCTTTAATATTATTAGGGCTAAGATCTGCTATAAAAGAGGACTTACAATGTTCTTCTGCAGAATTGGTATACGGCCAAACTTTACGTTTGCCTGGTGAATTTTTCACGTCTTCAAATGAAGAGATAGATACTCATTCAATATTAATTAATTTGAGAGAAAATTTCAACAAATTAAGACCAGTTCCAGTTCAGGAACACGGTATAAGGAAAACATTTGTTTCTCCAGAATTAGAAAACGCAGAATACGTTTTCTTAAAAGTTCAAGGCATTAAAGCCGCTTTAAAACCTTGCTACGAAGGTCCTTTTAAAGTTATTCGTAGATCTGATAAACTTTTTACAATTTTAAAAAATAATAACGAATTAGTTATCAATATTGATCAGTTAAAACCTGCATTTTTATTATCGGATAATAATGAATCTATAAAAGAAGTTAAGAAAGTTACATTTGCATTAAATAGTTCATTATTTTTAGTTGTTTCATAATTTATATGTTATTTTTTTTAAGAGGGGAAGTATTGTAGTGCTTCGTACTACATATTACTCTTCTCTCTGTCATAATTACGTTGATAGATAAATGTTATAACCTTAAACCAGTCATCTCCACTTTGTCATTTCGACGTTTTATTTTTGTTATGTGAATGGCACTTTAGAATGTTTCGTGGTGGCATGAGACTCAATCCTGTTTCCTGCCAATGTCATAGAATTTCAAAGTTGATGACATTGGAAGTCACATCTGTTTTTGATTTGTGGTGTAGTAGGTGGAAAAACAATGGAGTGTGTGGTGGATAGCTGTGGAAGAAAAAAAAAAAAGAACAGAACACCAAGAGACAAGAAACATCAACAAATTATTATTTTTTTATTTTTACATTTTTTCGAAGTAACATGTTCTTGACCTTTTTAATAAAAGAATTTTAAAAAAGAAATTTTAATTATATAGTTATTTTGATACAGAGAATACCTATACCGGCACAGCTCTGTCCTGAAGTTGACTTGATTTCAATTCTCAAAATTTCCGAGAGATTAGAACTCAACTTAGGCATCCCCTTTACCATTGATGTTCAGCCAGACACCCGATATACTTTGCAGTACCTTACGCAATGCGTAAGTCTACAGTACCCCGATTTGAATGTCAAATCTTACAATTATGTAAGCACATTCTCCCTCATCGGATACGATATACTCTGTATCCACGCAGCTCTACTCTATTGCGATTTAAACAAGCGCAACCAGCGTCCATTTCACTCAAGGATCTATACCACTGATATGAACCGAAAAGAATTCTACGATTCTCTTCTCGTCTCAATGTTTCCTCGCGAGCCCGGCCCCTGATTGATAATCTTACTTCAACGTATGATGAACAGCTTGTTCAATTACAGTATACTCCCGGATATGCCGGCTTCAAATTCTTCACAGACTTTGGCCACACCATCGCCTCCCTGTTGATGCTCTACGCACACCAGATCCTCGCGTCCTTCCCCACAAACGCCCAACCCAATACTGTTTTGAACGAATTATTTCAGCAAATCCTCACAACCATAGATGGATGTTCATACACCATCTCTAACCTGCTTGGTGGCCCCTATGTTTCAGACAATGACACAAGAATCCATGAAAATTGGTTTTTAACTACATTTGAAAGAATATTTAACCCAGTGATCAACAGTTTCCCTAGCCTTAAGACCTAGTCTTGCTAAGCCTCACTTCACTCCCAATTCCGTCACTTCGTATAACGATGTCAACCCCTACGACTACACCCTCGGCTACTGCCTTGAGAATAAAACTATTCTCATGAAAATGCTGAAAAACATCTCTGACTTTATCAAAACCAAGTCAGCAGACTGCCTACTCCTAAAAGACGTTCTCAAAAATAGCAAAAGCTCTCTCATCCAGACGCACTTTTTGACCGTCCCCTCCCTTCCCACACGGCACAAACTTCCCCTTGGTAAAGAGCTTGATAAAGCAATGTACACAAGCGATTCCGACTTCGCTAAAACGATCGGCTTCATGCCTCACGAACGAGTAGACCTTACATCCCCTAACGCCCAAATACACCACACAAACGTTGCCTCTGACCTCCAGCTCACCACCGGAGTCGAGTATAACCCTGACGAAGAAGTATTCCCACTTCTAAGTTTTGACCCCGAAGTTAATGTAACCCCTAACGTTGCTTGGTTTCAGCCATACAACCCTATTCCAAAGTACATTAAACTTTGTTGCGCCCTAGGATTCCAGATTGAATCTTATGATATAGTAGGTTTCACCCTACCTATGCCTAACATTCACACCTCCCTAACAAGCAACAACAACAACTATAGACCCGGACTAATTCCCTTCAATTATATCCAATATGTAGAAGGCTTTATTGGCGAAAGACCTGAAATTTGCGAAATTGCATCTTATGACGAATACGACCAACCTATTGATTTCGCTTTCCGAGACATGTCTCGCGTCATTATTCCAATTTTTGCTCTCAATAACTCAAGTTCTTCTTCCACACAGACCTACGGACTAAACCCCACTCCAAACTGTAATTATGACTTAACGTCATGGACTTACACAGCCTGGTGTAAGAATTCACACCCTTCCATCGAGAAGTCCATATATTTATGGTCTTCCTATCGCGTAGTAGACCGTTCTACACGGCCCAACTACTCTGTATCCTTTTATGGATCATTAAGACCGCTTTACGGTTTAAGTGTTCCACATTACAGAACAGGACACCCCTCCATCATTACCCCACAGTAATAACAACAGCTGATTTCCAGCTTAGATTTTTTTCTAACTTAGTAATATTTTCTAATATGTTTATTTCTAAAATTAAACTCCTCACAGACCTATTTTTTTAACTAATAACTTAAGATAAAACTAAAATAAAATAACAAAAAAACCTTAAAAGACCCCATATAGTAGGAGTGCAGTTGGTCCTACACGTTGTTTTGTGTCTGCGACAATATTAAAATCAAAGTTATTTAAATCTCATTGCAAAACCAGTAAGATAAATCTATAAAATACGTATATATGTGAGGAAGTGGAGGTACGTCTTAGAATTAATTATTAACTGCAGTAACTGAAATATTGTTCTCCAATAACATCGATAAGGTTAACCTCAATCTCTGGAATTAACAATTTACTTTTTTAAGTTAAAAAACTTGGCGTGTATAAATTGCACGCAATAAGCTGTAGTTTTTAATTTTAATTTCAAAGCAACATGCCCGAATCTTGTGCCAAATGCAAATTGAAAAAAAGAGACGAGAACTTGGTTGGTTGTGAGGGCCCCTGTATTAATTGGTTCCATGCTGACTGCGTTTGGTTAAGTGATCCTGAATTTACATAAATCCAAAAACCTGCATTTTATATGTAATTCCTGTAAAAATAAAATTGATATCGTCGATAAATCAGTAGATAGACAACCTATGTATGGCCTCACATAGGGAATTCAACGTGTAAGAGTGAGAGGTACATATTCAATGAATAAGAGTGAGACAGACGGTCTGAGAGGAAAACGGGGGTAGTGGGGGGAGTGGGGGGATTAAATTTCGTCGAATAGAATTTTTGCGTAGTGGTAAAGCCAAAAGGGCCTTAGCGTATATCTCAGCTATCGTTGGTCCGATTTAAACGGGAAAAACGGCATTATGAAGAGAGCGTGATATAGATTAACATACAAGAGAAAAATCATGCGCAATGACAGGACAAAAGGACCTTAGCGTATATCTCAGCTATCGTTGGTCCGATTTAAACGGGGAAAAGGGGGTTATATAGAGAGAGGGATATAGATTAAAGTTGAAAAGAAAAAATCATGCGCAATGCCACAAGGGCCTTAGCGTGTATCTTCACTGCTATTGGTCCGATTTAAATGGGGAAAACGGCATTACGTAGAGATCGTGGTATAGATTAACGTACAAGAGAATTTTTGCGTAGAACGAAAAGCCAGAAGGGCCTTAGCGTATATCTTCACTCGATTTAAATGGGGAAAACGGCATTACGTAGAGATCGTGGTATAGATTAACGTACAAGAGAATTTTTGCGAAAAGCCAGAAGGGCCTTAGCGTGTATCACGTGGTCTGATTTAAATGGGGGTATGTAGAGAAGCATTAACGTACAAGAGAATTTTTACGTAAAGCCAGAAGGGCCTTAGCGTATATCACGTGGTTCGATTTAAATCTTTGGGAGCACCCTAGTCCAACAACCGGTCCAACCACCTGAAATATCATAGAGATCATATACAAAATGAATATTGATTTGCAATAATATAGGACATTCTGTATCATACATTTATAAAATATAATATAATTTTAAACAATACATATATCGCCGATAACAGGCCACAATTGTTGAAACTTTAAAATTTATAGGAAAATTATCAAACACCGAAACCAAATATACCGGAAAAAGCATTTCCGTGAAAAAATGATAAATTATTATCTCAAACCAAACTTGTAAAGTTAGAATTTTTGATAGCAAAATTCTCAGACCACTAAAACCGTATTAACAGGAAAAATATATCTCTTGTTGGTGAACTTGGAAATTTCTAGAATTATCGTCTGATACTGCGAAAGTATAAATAGCCCCAGAATTAGCCATTGTTTGTCAGTATTGAGCAAGACGCTATACAGTGAATACTAATAGTTTTGTGTATTAAGGTAGGAAATATATCGTCCACTTACAATAACAAAGTTCTAACTACACCTTTTTTCAAATTCTAAGTTTTAGTATTATAGGGTTCTAACTGCTATTTTCTGCCTATTTTTAATAAATATAGCGACATCTAAAAATCGTAAGATAAACTAGAATAAACGCAGAGTTCTATCAGCCACAAACATTTGTTATTTTTATTTCACATGGTTGTATCTGCCTACACTTAGAACTATATTATCCGAAAAGAGTAGTTAGAACGTTGTTATAGTAATACGGTATTGACGGCTGCTTGTTTTATAACCTTAAAAGTTAGTGTATCTGTGTTGTGTATAAAGACGACCAAAATTATAAGATTACCATGAATAGAAGTAAATTAATATTAAAAATGGGTAAGTAATAACAGCCTAAAAATATGATTTAATAAGTGCTTTATAAAATTTGAAAGCTTTCGTTATATTTGTTTCATTATTTTAAGCTCATGAGAAATGTAACGGAATTCCGTTGGCCGAAAATGGCAATAAAAGTGAGCTTTTAACTGTATCTCAATTGTCAGAAATCGTTACCAATGATAATGTAGCCGACAATAACTCCTTTCATTCGATAGAAGATATGATAGAAAACGCGGAAGTAGTTATGGACTGTGACCAATCTACCGTCACCTCTTCATTCATTGTTTCCAATCTTTCAGAGCAGTGTTTTACTAAGGCACATTTAGAAGACATGACCCAAGAAATTGATGTAGAAAAAAATCTAGTTCAAGTAATAAAATGAATTAAAGCAATAACAAACACAAAAATAACATCCCCTCTTTATTTTTTAGCTAAACGAATTAGAAATTCAGGTTTATGGAGAAAATGCCCTATTGGAATCAGCAGAAATCATGACAATTTCTGAACTTCCAGACCAATGTGTTGAAGCTCCTATAGAAAAGGTAGCCCAAGAAGTCGTTATTGAAACTAACGGAGTGCAGGTAATTAAATTCTATAATATTAAATACTCAAAAAACACATTTTTTTTTATTTTTCAGCTTCATGAATTAGAAATAAATGAAAATACTGGGCAAAATAAGATATCCGAAAACTTTATAGAAGTTTTAGAGACACAAGAAAAAAAAGAACACACGAAAACTAATTCAGAACCAAATGAACTAAATATGTCAAAACATGAGAACAAAATACTTGTAAGAAAGAAAGTAAGTAAACCAGAAACATGGAAAAATAATATTCGAAAAAACCTCTGCCAGGCAGGTAAAGAATATATTAGCTCAAGAGGAAAGCATGTTTGCGCTAAAACGATAGTGAATAAAAAAGACTGTCTAAATAACTGCAAATTCCAATGCTGTAAAAAAATTGGGGAGAATGCCAGAAAAAATTTGTTTCATTACTACTATGAATTGAATCAAAATGAAAAGTACGTGTTTCTTAAGCAAGTAACAGAAAAGTTTATTAAAGGGCGCAAAACTACGGAAGGTGCGTCTCGTCGTGCCTATTCATTTAAATACTTTTTTAAGGTTCAAGAAGAGAAAATACAAGTATGCAAAAAATTTTTTTTAGGAACACTAAATATTTCTCAAAAACCAGTTTATACCGTACATTCTGCTGATAGTGACGTTCCAAAAAAAGATCTGAGAGGAAAGACCGGCAGTAGAAAATTAGATAACAAGAAAAGGCAGGTCGTTATTGATCACATTAAAAAATTTAACGTGGTCGAGTCTCATTATTGCAGACAGAATAGTCAGAAAAAATATTTGGAAGCCACATTAACAATTCCAAAAATGTATGATTTATATCTTAAATATTGTGCAGAAAATAACATAGAAAATCCGGTTAAAGTCTCAATGTATAGGCAAATTTTCTGTACTAATTTTAACTATAGTTTCCATAAGCCTAAAAAGGACGTTTGTGAGACCTGCTCGACTTATTATTTAAAGAAAAAGGAAAACAGGCTAAGCAACACCGAAGAAGCTGCCATGGAAAAACATATTGCAGAAAAAGAAGCTATGAGAAAGGAGAAAGAAAATGATAAGAAAAGTGGAATTCCTGTTTTATGTTTTGACCTGGAAAATGTCATAACTTGCCCAAGATCTTTTATTGGAAATTACTTTTATCTGCAAAAGTTGACTATGTATAATTTAACAGGTCATTTATCCACAACGAATAAAGGATATTGTGTATTGTGGATTGAAACCCTTCAGGGCCGAAGTGGAAATTGCCTGGCTAGTGCCTTTAGAAAAATTATTGAGAAGGTTCTAGAAGATAACCATTTTAATGTACTTATTACTTGGAGTGATAGCTGCGTTCCCCAAAATCGCAATTCCCACATAGCTTTTTGCGTTTTAGATTTACTTAGAAATCACCCAGATCTTGACTGTTTAACTATGAAATATTCCGTTCCTGGACATGGTGCTGTACAGGAGGTAGATAATATTCACAGCCAAATTGAGAGGCACATGTCACAAATAGAATTTTTTTCACCTTTGGGGTTCATAAAGGAACTTAAGCAGGTGAATAAAAAAAATCCATTTGTTATCATTCAGATGAAAGAATCAGATTTTATGAACTATGAGGAGTGTTCTAAACAACTGAAATATGATAACATACCATTTACAAAAGTTTATACTATGCAATTTTCCAAATCTGATCTAACAGAAGTACGTTTTAAAAGAAGTCACACAAATAATGAGTTTATTAAGGTTTCGATAAGTCCTGCTGTTCCTGCTCTCCCACGCCGTAGAACCAAAAAATTTGCGGAAGTAAAATCCCCTCCTGAAATTGCAAATTTAATACCAAAAATACTCTCAAGCAAGAAAGAAATCTCCAAAGAAAAAATTAATGCTTTAAAAAAAATGATGCCGTCAATGCCGCAAATTGACCAAGATTATTATAAAGCACTATTACATTTATAATTTTCATTACTTAATGTTCAATTATTTCGTTTAATTAATTATGTAGTTACTTTACTTTGATTAGTTTTAATCAGTATTTTTTTAGTGAATTTATTTTGATTAAAAATTAAATAAATTCTTTAAAAATATTCACATAGAACTTTGTTTTAATACCATGACTTATTATACACAGACTTTCTCTAACCTGACAAAGTTGTAAGTGACA